GTTCACATCTTCTGTCTTTATATATATCTCTAATAACACGCTCTCAATCTTATGCTCGTATTCATTCAAACCAATCATTTTACTTTATATCACATTTTAGTATTTTCATATCTCATCACAAATACATTACTTTTCAATCCATCTCAGTATGTTTTTTCCTCACTCATTTTACTCAGAAATTTCTATGCACATATTTAACCAATGAAAATACAAGAAAATTATATAAATCATTCAAAAGATGAAATTTATAATATATCAAAAGTTATGCAGTGGAAGATCACGAAATTAAGTGATAATATATTTTAATTAGATTTAAGATAAATAAATATGTAGAAATCAAATCCACTGAAGACAGAGATAAAAATATAATTAATTAAGAATACCTTTTAGAATACAAGCGACATACAGAAAAGCGTCGGAGAGGTTCCACTATCTTCTTCTTTCTTCTCTTCCTCCCCCCTTCTCTTCCTCTCTTCCTTTTCCTTCCCGGTCAAGCCACGCAAAAAAGAGCAGAGGGGTGACAGTGGCAGGGATATATATATATAGCCACGAATACCTTTTAGAATAGTGGCCTAATGTCGCAACACTGCATGTTAAATCCTGTTGACTTCAATGAAAATCCCTAAAATTTTGTATAAATCTTGCTTAGATGTGCTTTCGGTGCTGTTCATGTCTCCTCCCAAAAGTCCTGCTCAAATCCCATGATTGCCTGCTCTGGTTTCTTCATTAAAAGGAAATCGAACAAGAAATCGTTTGTTTATTCTTCTCGAACATTTCTTCCGATCCCACGAGCCATCCACCTTCTTCCTTCTATCCAACCTCCCAACCAATCTCTCACATAGCCACGAATTCTTCAGCAGGAACCCCTCACCCGATCGAACCAGACCCGACAAGCCCAATCTTGTTCCCGTCCACACGCCCTCCGATTTGAACCCCCTCGTGGCCGCAGACCTTAGCACCAAACCCACGACACCTCCCTGGCCTGTCGGTCAAACTCCACAACCGCAAGCCATATTCAATCCGATGTTGCCTCTTCCCGTCAACCTGAATCTGTCTTGATCAAAGCCCCGAAGCTAATCCATCTTCCTCCACATTAACTACAGCAGACAGAGCATTCAACCTATTCCCTACTCTCAGCACCTTCAGTCGATCCGACCATTCAAGCATCCAAACCCTTTGTTAGCTAAGTTAGATTTAAATTTATCCCATTTAAAAATATATATACCAAACAAGGTACCCTTGAACGAAGCGACACATGGTTGTCGACAAGGATCCATCTATCCGGTTGGGTCGACTACCTCCTCAAACAAAGTAGACCAGGGATTATGATGACCCGGGATAATGGAACCATGGGGATCTTGATCGGGTTCATCATCACTCCCCCCACCATCCACTTTAAGTGCAAGGTGGTGAGTAACTAATTTTAAATATCAAAATTTTAAAAATTAAATAATGATGCTACTATACGTCGGATATTACTTATATGTTTAACGACTAGCCATGATCAAAAGTTCTTTCTCGTTACTGGGAGGAATTAACTAAAGAGGAAACTGGAACTCATATCATAAAACCCTCACAAAATAAGGACAAAATCTCTAAGCAATGTCTTAATTAAAACCAAAATTGCCTTATGAAAATTTACCTCGGAACCTACTTGTTAAAAATCTCTCATATGACTCTAAAAAGAGAGAAAGGGGCCACAAAAAGCCTGGGGCATTTAGATCTCACATATTTATGGCGACTCCATTAAGGATGGTTTCTCTATTCATTTTTTGGCTAGTCGCAACACAGAAAAATCATTCATTATCGAGTGATTTTTCCAGTGAAAATGGGCACTTTTACAGCATAATTTTAGTGTTTCGGCAAATTTTTTTCAACCGGTATACGTCACGTATGAAACGTAATACGTCAACGCTTTTTCAACCAAAAATTATTTTTGGTGGTTTTCAATTTTGGTTGTGGTGACAGTCATAGAGGCGGCTTCAGCAGAATACCTACCATAAATTTTGGGTGGCATTACTCGCAGTTTGACCGCAAGTATTTTCTGGCGGTTTAACAACCAATAATTTTTTACGGATGGGTCGCTAGAAAATCATCATAAGTTTCTAACAATTTATTTATTATTTCAGCGGCTTCTAATGTCATCTGATATCGGAGTTTCCGATGGTTTGGAGGCTAGCAGGCCGCATGAAACCTGTAGCAAGGTAAAAAAAATTGTCAGCCTCTTTATTATCCACAAACACCTCCACATGTGATACATGCAATAAATGCATAATATAAACAAAATAAAATGGACTAACACACAATATTCACAATTAACACATACTAAAAGTGTTGAAAACATAAAGCTTAAAACAAACAAACTTTAAAACATAAGTCTAACAATACGAAAACATAAAGTTCAACATAATCAACCCTTAAAATATAAAGTTCAACTACAATAAAGAGATCACATCAATATATTTTTAAAGAAAAGCTTGTTCTTCAAAGTCCAAAAACAACTTCAACATTAACTTAAATCTAATCATCTTTCATGTCCTAGCTACCCTATGATTTATACACATGCTCCTGATCCTTTTTCTTCTGATTTTTGGCTTGATATGATCACAGCATCGCCTCCATCTCAGTCAGAATATGTCTCATCTTCTCTATCTCTTTTGTCAGAGCATCAACCCTATGGCTGACAATTTTTTCTACTCAATTAACATTATAAAATGTCGAGGTAGATGTACTGCTCTTAATAGCCTATCTAAGCAAACTTAAGCCATAAACCCTCCCCTTCTATCTCTAACAGCTTGTGACCACATGTGGTACTCACAGTACTGAGTCAATCATGAAGATGATCCCTCACTAGTAGACAGTTGACCCTCCCGAATTTATATGAAATCATCCTACGAGAATAAATCCCTAAAAATATATTTTTATTTATTTATTTGTTATTACTAAAAAAATGATATTCATGTGAGCTTTCTCTCGTATTATCATCAACTCACTATTGATCAATTTGATGTTGGTGAATCCTTGCATGCAACTTTAATGATATTGGCTCCCGACCAAGATATTATTTCTACAAATAGAGATCATAGTTAAAATAATGTATATATATTTATGAAATTAATTAAAATATTTTTTACAAGTCGTCGTCTAAGCTCAATATAAGGGACTAAATCACTCATATGAATAGAGCTTTCTAAACCCTTATAGTCAGATGCTCTATTTTACTTATTACGCTCTCTCAATTTGCCGAACTCATGACTTACCCAAGCTCTAGTCAAATCAACTCACACTCCCTTATCGTCAATCCATAACGGACGCTCTCCAAACTTAATCTTATATCCCATTTAAGATAATAATCATGAATAAATAGTGATTTGATGAATGTCTTAAAATTTATAACTTTCACAACCTAAGGGAACATTATTAATGCCTACCAAGACATGCAAGATGGTGAGCTATGCAATACGACAAACTACATGAGATGATGAGTTGACTTTGTGTAGGGGTGTCAATTTCGGGTCACAGGTCGGGTTCGAGTCAAACTCGAAATTGACCCAGCACTATTCCGGTTAACCCGAACCCGACCAATTTTTGAAAATGGGCCAGTTTTTCGGACCCGAATTAAATCCGCTTTGAGTCCAGGTCAACCCGACAAGACCCGAATAACCCAAAACTGTGAAAAAATTGCTAGTTTTCGGGTTAAAAATGGGTCAAACTCCGCTTTTTAGGTCGAAAACGAGTTAATCTCGGGTTTCCTAGTAAAAACGAGTTTTCGGGGTAAAAAATATGTCACTTTCGGGTCAAAGTCAAAGGGATAACCAGAACTTGACCTAATTTTTGAAACGGGTCAAATTGTTGAACCCGAATCTGACCCGTTTCGGATACAGGTTGACCCTCACCCGAAATTTTTGGGTCGGGTTCGAGTCCGATTTTCGGGTCATGTCAAATATTGACACCTCTAACTTTGTGTGAAAGAGGTGAGATGATGAATTATATGATGGTCGCACTACTATAGGCATGTGGATGTAACAAAACTAGTTGCACCACATGTTGTGCTTTAGGCTAGCAAATCAGGGTTAAGCTAGTGAGTAAGCATGAACTATACAAATAAGCTACGTGATGGGACATTATGTTAGGTCAACATGGTAATGGGTGTAGATTTGCATGAAGGTGCTGGGATAGCTTTTGAGTGTTAAGTTAGTGAGTAAGCATGAAATATTCGAGTAAGCTATATGATAAGACATTACGTTAGGTCGACAAGACAATGGTTGTGCGGTCTACAACTTCATGCACGAGGAATTCATATGACACATTTATTGGGGAGAAGAAAATAAAAAATGGGGATAAACCACTAGTTCATTTCTTTTATGATGAGGCGCAATCCTGAATTTTGAATAGGCTCTTTGATTTTTGACGATTGTGCATGAATTAGTTGAATATTATATTAAATAATTAGATTTCTTTTGTTCACGAACCAAGATAACATAAGATAATTAAAAAAATCTTATTGTTTGAGAGGAAAAATTTCTCCAAATGATTTAAATTTATAAGAAATAAAGAGAGAGAATGAACTATATATATATAACTCTGCAATATATATTGAGATTTCATTTGAGACTGTTTTCTTATTATTTTTTTTTGAGTGATTTTTTAGTATAAAAAATTTGTGCTAAAAAGTTACTTAAAAAAGCAGCAATAAATAGTTGAAATAAATCTTAAATGTTTGAATTAATATTTTTTAATAAATTAGAATTCTAAAATTGAAAATAGATCATTATTAAGTAATAATTATTTTTTGGGAAAAAATATTAATTAATAAATAAAATATAAAAATTAAAATGTCAGAATTAGAAATATTGCACGTTAAATTCATCCGCATGTGAACAAGTACCGGAATGTAGTCGCCAGGTGGACTGATTAAGTGGACCCCGCAACAATAGCGACAGAGACTACAGGCCGAAAGAAATCCACGAACTTCGGCTTTTTACCGCGAGCAATCCCGATCGATCGACGCTTCCCAATTTAAAATCCCGCATCAAATCACAGACCGATCAAGAGAGAGAAACCGCGAGATCACAAAGCTACAGCGGATTGAGAGAGAGAAGCAGATCGGGCTTCGTGCAATAAAGTCTAGACTCGGCTGCAGTAGTCGCAATGGATCGGATCAGCAAAAGCAAGACGGAAGAAAAGGATTCGCCTTCGCCCAAAAAAAGAAAAAAAAAATCAAAACTCGAAAAAAAATAGAAAACCGAAGCCCAGTTTCAGGTTTTTTAACGATTTCGCGTTCCCCACCTACGACAAAATTCTACCTTTATTTGTTAATTCGTTGTTTTAATTTCTCTGTTCCAGCCTCCGTACAGCAACCGATCGTCAGTATTTTTGATGTTTCCATAATTTGAATTTTTCCCCTTCGATAATTTTTGGATTGAGAGTTTTTTAGCCTGTCCTTCTAATCATTGCCAACTGAATCGTGAGGTGTCTTCCGTCCGCAATCTCCTCTTCGTCGCTCTCTTGCCATTTGTTTGATTTTTAATGATTTTCGGAGTTCCGGATTCTTTTGAGGTTTTCGTTTTCTTTTCTTTGGGTTTGGTTTTAATTTCCACTTTCGTCAATCGATAGTTTTTTTTTCCCTTTTTTTTATTTGGTTGGTTTTGTAATTCAAGTCATTTACCTTTTTTTTGTGTTTTGACTACGCGTGTGAGCCTAGAAAGCCTGATGGGCTCAATTGATGTAGTTGTCTGCCCTTTTAATGTGCTTTCTATCTTTTTTTTGTTAATTGTTGTGAATCTTCTTAAGGAGAGGTCGGTCTAGGGTTTGTTTCCGCAATTTTCCTACTTTACTCTTTTCCCATCCCCTTCACTCACCTCATCTGGGCGGCGGTTTCCGTGTACGGGGAGCTATTGTGGTGGATTTCCTAGTGCTGTTCGGTGATTTCCATTGTTTCTCCCATAACAATCGTCGATTCGTCGCCGTTTCGTCATCTTGGTAAGTATTCTCTTCCGATTTGAGGCGTTTTATGTGATCCTTCATACTCGATTTTTTAGGGTGTATTTGATTCAAATGGTCTAGGAATTTGGTTAGATTTCAAAAAATCTAAGTGCCTTCGATTTCTAACTCAACCAATTTTGGTGCAGTTGATGTGGTTGCTGTGAAAATGTTAGCTGATTTTGCGGTTTGATGAGAGTGAAGACTGAAGGGATGATATAGCACTCTGTGCTTCCTCTGACAATGTCTCATTTACAAGGTCTCGTGAAACAACACTGCACGCTCCTCGCCGTTTTATGCGGGAAAGTTGCAGGTAGGCAGAAGGCGGAGACCAGGCGTAGGGCTACTTATCCCTTTCCAGAGCTTGTTTCGGCTGGCCGCTTGGAGGTTGAGTTTGCCTTTTCTTTTACTAAAAAAACAAACTTGGATTTCAGATTTGCTTTGCTCTTTTGTTTGTTTATCTGAGTATTATAAATTATTAGGTATAAAATGCCAATTTTTACTCTGTTTTGATTATAATCTTTCGGATGCCTGAATGCAGGTTCATACACTAACTAACCCTACATTTGATAGCTTTCGGGCAACTCAGAGAGCTTTGGAACCCAGTATATTGTACTTTCAAGGGGAGCAGCTTGAAAATGAGGAAGAGATTGGCTCGATGGTCTGGGAAACTGCTGACGTTTCAGAACCCCAGACCCTCTGTTCACTTCTCTCTCCTCCTTTACCTACTATTGTAAGCTTCAAAAATTTGGAATTTTTTGTTGTTTTCTGTGCTTGAGTGAGTGTTGTGGTTTTGGGTATTTATCAGGGGCGGAACCAGACCTAATTTTCAGGGGGGCAAACTTATAAGGCATATATGTCGGGGGTCAGGTCACAGGGTCAAGGGCAGCGCCCCTACGGGGGTTTCCAGGGGCAATGCCCCCGGAACAAATTTTGGTTTGAAGGATATTTTTGGAATTCAATGATGAATTCTCTTTATTATTTATTGGGGCAATTAACTAAAGACTATAGTATTTTAAAATTTTTTTTTTTTTTTTTTGGGGGGGGGGGGGGGCAATTGCCTAAAACTCTTGTTATAAAAACTAAAAAATTAATGAAAAGAGATAAAATACCTGAAAAACCGTATAAAAAAAATAAAAAAAATTTTTGAGGGGGGGCAATTGACCCCAAATCCGCCCCTAGTATTTATGGAAGTCCACTGTTTTTTTTTTTTTTGTATTCTTTGGATGATGAAAATATGAATATATAGCTTGATGGTTTACTATTTCATTTGCCTTGTCTTTGTGTACCAGTGCTAAAGAAGATATATAGTTGATGTGTCGCACATTAAAATTATGGGAGAGAGTAATCGAGCATAGGTTACGACATAATATTAATGTTTCTCAAAATTAGTTTGGATTCATGCTGGGAGCTTCTACTATTGAAGCTATACATTTGTTGAGAGGTTTGATGGAGAAATATAGATTAATGACAATTTGCATATGATATTTATTGATTTAGACATAACATATGATAAAGTTCCAAGAGAAGTGCTCTGGATAATTCTAGAAAAGAAAGGAATTAATAATACTTATATTCAAGTTATTTAGGATTTGTATACAGGAGTTTTTACTTGTGTTCAAATTCAATGCGGTTTGACCAAATATTTTCTTATTTCGGTTGGATTACATAAAGGATCAACTTTAAGCATATATCTTTTTTCTTTAGTCATGGATGCTCTTACTAGACATTTGCAAGAGGATGTACCCTAGTGTATGTTTTTTGCTGATGATATTCTTCTAGTTGATAGGACTAGAGAGGGAGTTAAAGGAAAACTTGAATTATGGAGGCCAATCTTGGAGTCTAAATATTCTCTTATGAGTATATCTAAACCCGAATACATGGAGTGTAATTTAAGTAGTAACAGATCTCGCTGTGAGATTGTGACATTAAGAGATCAAGTTATTAAAAAAACTGCATGTTTTAGATATCTCAGGTCTATTGTTTAAAATGATAATGAAATAAATGGGGATATTATTAGTAGAATTCAAGTTGAATGGTTGAAGTGGAGGAATGCATCAGAGTTGGGTGATAGAAAAGTACCCCTTAAACTAGGGGTATCAATATATGAAACGACTCAAAAATTTGACCCAAAACCGCCTCGAACATTTCAAGTTCAGTTCAATCCATTTAACAAGCGGGTTAGGTTCAAGTTGAATTTTTCCACCCTAGTGATATATCGGGTCGAGTTTGAGTTAACCCACGAACCTGAAAATAATCCTTTTGACCAAAAATTGTGCTCGCCCCCGCGCTCGCGCTAGCACCAGTACTCTCACCCGTGTTTGCTCGCGGTGGCTCGCTCGTGGATCGCCCTCGACCTGCCCTCATGACCTCTTCCTCTCCCTCACTCACTCGACGCTCACTGCTCTCGCGGGTCGTGTCCGGTCAACCCAGGTTAGGAGCATGTTGAGTTTGGATTTTTGACCTGTTTATCTAATTTGGTTCGGTTCATGTCGGATCAATTGAAGGCGGGTCAATTTTGGGTTGGACCCAAACCCGACCCAAAAAATTCATTTTGACATCCCTATCTCAAACTTAAGGGAATATTTTACAAGATGGTGGTGAGACCTGCAATGCTTTATGGCCCAAAATATTGGCTATTAAAAAAGAAGATAAAATTAAGTTAAGTGTTATAGAGATGAGGATGCTTAGGTGGACAAATGGCTTACACTTAGAGATAGAATGTGAAATGAGTATATATGTGAAAAGGTTTGAGTAGCTCTAGTGGCAATTAAGATTATCAAGAGTCGTCTTTGATGGTTTGGTCACATAAAACGTAGGCCTTCGGATGATCCGGTTAGGAGAGTATATGTATTAGTTCCGGCCTATGCTAAGAAAGTTAGAGATAGACCTAAAAAGACTTGGTTAGAAAGTATTAGAAAGGATTTTTTATAAAATTTAAATGAAAATTTGACTCTTAATAGGGCATAATGGAGAAAAAGAATCTTTTAGCCAACGCTACATAGTGGTATAAAGGCTTGTTGTTGTTCTCTCTTTACTCAAATAGATTTCATGGCTGATGAAAAATGTGCTATGGAATTGGAGTTTCATCTATTGAAAAATATTTCTTTGGTTGCATGGAATGGTGTTTTGTGGAACATTCTTTAAAGGTTGCACATGTTTCTTAAATTTGTTTACTGTTTGGATTATGTATGGGTTCTCCAACTTTGTACTCTGTTATGTAATTGATTATTGCTTTTTTATTAACAAACTAGATAAAATACCATAAAATTTGCAACATATTATTCTTTCTAATTGCTATGCATGCATTGATGTTGTTTACTTTATCTTTTGGATGAATTCATAAAGGAAAGCATGAATATTGATGCCTAACAGTTCAGTAATGTATGTGATATTGTGAGATTATTGGTACAGGTTATGTTAAATTTCTTTTTGATTCCGATTTATTTGTCCTTTATGCAGGTCTATTTGGAGGCCCCAAACAGTGAAAAGGTTGCACAGGCAATTCACTCTAAGGTGCATATTTGAGATTTTATGATAAAAACCATGGAGTGCTATTTTGATGTCTTTTCATTTCTTCTCCTTGAATTGCTTAACCTTAATAAAACACAAATTGAAATGTAAGTTAAAGAGCATATTGGATAAGTGGTATGCTACAGGTTTCTCTTCTCTAATTTTGTTTTCTTTTCATTTTTCAAGTGGCATTTGGGCCAAAAAACCTGTTTGGCTTCTATTTCAATGTCATGCTTCCATCACTACAATTGTTGGGAAATAAAGTGGTAGGATATTACCTTATGAGAATTGAACTGTCCTTTTTTTGTGAGTTTTGAATATCTTATTGCTATGATAGTTGCATTAGTGATAGTTTCCTCACAACCAAATGCAAATTTTCTTTTCCCAGGGAATTTCTGTCATATACAGGAAGAATGCACAGTAAACTGATCCACAATATTATATTTTTCTTTAAAAGTTATATTTTACAAGATGGCACTTTTTTCCTTGTTCCAGGGGGTTCCATATGTGATATATTGGAAGAATGCATTTTCATCATACGCAGCTTCTAATTTTCGCCAAGCACTTTTTTCAGTTGTACAAAGGTATCCCTTCTTGCATTGATATTATTAAGGCACTTCCTTGAATATTCATTTTGTTGTAAATTGACATTTTGTTTTGCAGTTCGTGTAGCCATATATGGGATGCTTTTCAACTTGCAAATGCTTCATTCCGGCTTTATTGTCTTAGAAACAACTATGCGTTTCCTGATAACAACCAAAAAGGAAGTAGCAAGCCTGGGCCACGTCTTTTGGGGGATGCTCCAAAGATTGATGTTGCTCCTCCTGAAAGAGAAGTGATTGAAAATGAAAGCCCATCAGATGCTTTTCCATCCCTTAAAATATATGATGAACATATAGACATGAGGTTTCTCATCTGTGGAGTGCCGTGCGCATTGGTGAGTTAGAAGTTGTACGTTTTATTTCTCTTTTTGGCTTCCTCATATAAAAATGCATTGTTTATAGTTCTTTTTCCTACCTTGATTTTTTGTTTCCAGGATGCATTCTTGTTGGGTTCACTAGAAGATGGCCTCAATGCACTCCTAAATATTGAAGTAAGCTGAAAATATTGATGTACCTGGCTAGATTATAATTTTTTTAATGAGCAATAACTTAGTGATTAAATATTAATAAATTCAAGCTATTTGAAGGAACTTTAAGTTATTAATTTATTTTGCAATTTTAATGAATTATGTTTTCATAGCTTACAATAAATTTGGTGGCATTATTATGACTGAATTTTCATACTGAAATATTCATTAAGATGCGTTGAATTTTACCCTACATGACCACCTGCCCCAAAAATGACTAAAAGATGTTTTAAATTTGACTCAATTAATTCTCTGCTCATGTTGTTTTCAATTGATCATTAAGTTGATAGAAAGGGTTTGATTCCAATGACAGTTAATCTCAAATCTATCCTGTTATTTAGGGCACTTAAAATTTAGGAAACCTGGTCTAATGCTTTGCATTGACTTTGTTACTTCATTTCCTATATCAGCCTAAGGTTGATTAATGAATCACATCCTAGATGACACTATTCATGGAGGTGCAAGCAATTACCTTCATGACACTGAAACAGTGATGTGAAGCACATATTGGCATGTGGTGACAAGGACATTCAAGTGCCCCCTTTCTTATCTATGTACCTAGCCCACATCCTTCCCTCTTAGATCCAACGAATCCATGTTATTGTTGGATGTGATTAGCTATTGTCTCCGCTTATGCTCTAGATTTGATCTCTCTCTCTCTCTCAGTCTGCATCCTTCAACACAATATACTAAACTAGACTTTTGAAAGTCTCCAGCGTTAGAATATAATAATTAGCTAACTTGAATACATATAAATCATGGATTTGTGATTTTAGTTTATCTAGCATTATGCATGCGAAGGCTAGATGGTATACAAATCATTTATGGAAGTAACCATCTATCAATGAAACTATAATCCATGTAAGATGTTAGAAAATAAAAAACTTCACTTACATTGTTTGTTTGCTAAAGAAACCCTAGAAGTGTATAGTTGCAACTGCTGGGATTGTTCATATCTGCTCCTTGTTCTGATGTCAGATCTACACTTATAATTGTAGTTGCGCTGATGTTCCTCATCCTATGCAAACAATCTTAAACCGGGTCGTTGAAAAGCTGTGAAGGTGGAAATAACTCACTCATGGATGTGGATAGTTGAATGCCATGGATGGTTGAATTTGTTAATAATGGAATTTCCCTTCAATTTCTTCATATTTTAAGGGGCTTAGACAGTATCGTTGGTTAGTTTCTTAGGTCACATATATTATTAAATGGCCAAGCACAATTGAGAAAAGTGAACCCTTCTACTTTTACTCTGCTTTCATTCTTTATCCTCCCTCACATACACCCCTGCCACCAGCTTGTACATCGTAGACCCAGGTTTAGCATGATTACTTTGTGATCAGGTCGGAATGATTGTTTGGATCACTCGTGTTTTAGTCGATCGAGATTCATTGTAACATTTTGACTCATTTACTAATTGGCTCCAGATTGTATTAAAACTCGATGGGTCAAATGCATTTTAAATTGGATTTGAACCCAATACATTTATTGAAACCAACAGTCCTGATGTCTTGGCCCCAAGGTTTGTTTTTGTATGCTTTAGAGACCACGTACTTACGTTTCATTAGGTAATACTTTTCTGGAGCTTTGCTTTTGAAAATCTTGGCATCTCACAAATTCTTTTTCTTGCGTAAATTTCTTACTGTAGACTTTTGTTGTATAGGCACGTCTTCCATAGCTTTATGACCATGGGCAACACTCATGCAAAGTGTCTTATCATCTCTATGGGAGCAGTGATTATTTTATTTCTGATCAAAGAACACAACAAAACAACTGTTTAGCATCACTAAATGAAGCCCGGTGAAAATGAAATTTAACCAAAACAAATGAATTAATTATTAGATAATCTTATGAAGTCATATCAATGCATTTTTTTAGCTAAAGAAGGTGGCACTAGACGCTTCACGTGCACTGTGTTGGCATCAAGCTAAACTGTTCATCACTGAAGCAAAATCTCCTAGATTCAGGGGATCCAACTTTTTGATGATTTGCATGCTGATATGAATCTTTATGCTGTCACATTTTGCCAAATGTTTTATCGTTAAACCTTATCTCTTTGTGCATGTATACGAATACTGATGTTTATTTGGTATCACATGCAGATTCGTGGGAGTAAACTACACAACCGAGTCAGGTACATTTTAGGCTGTTTCTGTACTTATTATGCCCGATGGAAATATATATGGTTGAATTGTTTCTTTTTAAATTAATTTTTATCGTTTTGCACTATGTTGGATGATGTATGTTTGCTAGTCATAATCTCAGAATGCACCAGTGACCATATGCTAAGCTATTGATATATTGCTCTGATGCGCATTTTTTTATTGTGAGCCATATCAAGTGAACTTTAAGAAGATTATGATTAGTTTGCATTGAGAATTTATGTTAAAATAAGCTTATGAAGGTGGGAATTCCTCTTATCGTCATAGTAATCAAACTTAAATAATTGTCTCTAAAGCTATTAACACCATTATCACCAAAGAATTGAAAGGAATGTTGGTACCTATTTTGTCAAGATTCAAAGTTTTTACCAGTATTCTTAAAACTGATTCGGACCAGTCGGTTCAACTGGTTTGACTGTGAACCAGTTCAGCTGCCGGTCATGAGAAGTTGAAAAGCCGGATTTGTGTTGAGCCGGTTTGAACCGCTGGTTCAACCAGTAAATCGTCGAACTAGCTCCGGTTTGGTTGAACCAACCGGTTCAAATTAAATATAATTTTTTTTATTATAAATTTTTTAATATGAAATTTATTTAATTAATTTTAAATATATTTTTAAAATCATATGTTTATTTAAATACATTTAATCAGAATATAAAACTGCTAGCTTGCCATATCATGCAACTTTACTTTTTATTTGTAGTTATTGTTCTTTACTATTATATAAAAACAAACTTAAAATTCCATCTATGATGTGGGGATTAAAATCCTGTGAGAATTTTGCACGAGCTTAAACTATCATATTTCTTGGGATATAAATTTGGGTTGAAAATGCATATAATTTATTAAAGTTAGAAATATAATTTTTTATATTATAAAATTTATATATTACATTATTATTTTTGTTAAAATTATATTTATATTTATACAATTACATTATTATTTTTTTTAAGTTTAAGACCTATATATATTCATATTCATGTTCAATTGAGCTTCGTTATAAATTTTATATTGAGCCTTAATGGAGCTTATTCATGAATTTTAATCAAAGTAATTATGTAATTATTACGTAATTTATATTATATTTGATATATCATCAAAAAATTATGTTGATCGGGCACAAAACTCGAAGCAAAATCAAGATTGGAAACTTCAAAAACTAAATCAGAGATCATCTGAACTCCGATTTCAGCAAACTTACAATCGAACTGAACATATCGGAAATGCAAGCTCAATGACACCAAATTCAACTCAATCCAAGCTCAAATGAGACCAAATCGAAGACCCAAAGTGCATTTGGAAGGTTCAATCCATAATTTGGCTTTATCAAACAGTTTTTAAACGTGACATGCTTATAGTCAAATCGAGCGGCTTGACGAGACGAATCCAACAAACCCAAGATCGCCGAATTGTGATATCATTAAGACATTCAAATGCTTAATAAACGGTGTATGATCGAGGGATTCAACATCGACCGTTCATCCAAACCACTCCCAATTTACTCTTGATATTCCTCCTATTTACGAACCATACCACTCTCTGAAAACTATAAATAGACTCCTCATTTCTCATAGAGGGGGGAAAGAAGAGGCCCAAGCAAGAAGAGAAGGAAGAGAGCTCTCTTGCCACCATACTCTTCCTCGACCACCGCCGGACTCCTACCCGACGTCAGATTTCTACCCAACGTTGAACTTATGTCTGTCATCGGACTTCTGTCCATCGTCGGACTTCTACCCAATGCCGAACTTCCACCAGTCGTCGGATTTCTACCCGACATCGGACTTCCGCCTGTCGTTGGACTTCTTCCCATTGTCGGACTTTCATTGGACTTCTACCCGACGCCGAATTTCTACCCGACGTCGAACTTTTGTCTGTCGTCAGACTTATGCATGTTGTTGGACTTCTGCCCGTTGCTGGACTTTCGTCGGATTTCTACCTGACGTCGGTCTTACGCCCATCGCCAGATTTCTACCCAACGCCGGACTTCCGCCTGGCCACCAACTAATGTCGGACTTTTGTACGGCCACCAATTGATGTAGGACCTCCATCGCCTTCCAACTACCGTCCTTCCGACATTCGTCGCCTGCCGAGTATGGTCCTTCCGACCAAAAGCGCACGTCAACAGTGATTCTTCCTATTTTCACCATGTAACACATTTTATATGATGTTTATTTGTTATATCAAGTCAAGGCCTTCCCCCAAGGAAGGGTCTCATTTGTAATTGACTACAAATAATAGTGGATTCATTCAAACTGTGTTAGGCCCCGTGGTTTTTCCCCTTTTTAGGATTTTCTACGTAAAAATCTTGGTCTCTTATGAATGCTACACCATCTCTTTCATCTGTTTGTGTGCTGGATCTTCGTACAAATCTTGGTCTCTTATGAATGCTACACCTTCTCTTTCATCTGTTTGTGTGCTAAATCTTCGTACAAAGCTAAGACATTAAACTTTATATTTCTCTACCGCCGCGAATATTCCTGGACGCAACAATATTCAAATAATTTTAGTATTTATTATATCATACGATTCAACCCCGGTAGAACCATCGAAACATGAACCTCTTTCTTTTTTCAGTTTATTGTCCAGTCCAATTTTCGCAACCTTGATTTTTACTAAGCCTTGTTATAAATATCACCAAACTTGTCACTTTGCACTTGACTGAACTAGTATGAATATTTAAACTAATTATGAAGAAGATTTTGAGTAAAATGATTTGTGGCCTAATGATTAAAGGAGAATGTTGTTTCTCCACTGCTATTATTTCAAGCTGCATATTTAATTATTTTAGCGCTCTATATTTCTCAAAAAGGAAGACAACGAGGATGATGTTGTACGTGAATTTGATGAGGAAGTTAGTGATTCTAAACATGCTTCATTTGAGAACTCCTTGAATTTCAAGTCATATAGTTTTTTCACATGGTATTAAGTTTAAACTTAATTGGAAAATTAATTGAATCTTTTAAGCATATTCTAAGCATTATATGAACTTCTTTATACTCAATATGAATAGTTGAAGTTGCATGGATGTTGCTGCCAAACTAGCCTTTTGATACATGAATTTGAAAGCTGAAGCACGCTCACAATAACTTTACAAAGTGAATTGGGTAGATGAACTCGTTACTTGTAGCAATAAGATATGGCGTGACGTCTTATCTATATATGTTGCACATCATTATACATAGAACTTGGTTGTACAATTTAGATGTGAAATGTTTTGTGAAGTCAATGAGAGAAGAATGGTTCTAAAATCTAAAAAGCATAAGGGTCTTTTTATGTCAAAAGAGTCAAGTGCTCTTAATAGGAAAACCTCTCCATATATTGATCCCATTTTTGAAAAGGGGAGTCGAGCTAAACAAGTAATATATGAAGTGATAGTTGTTGGATTGAACCAAGATATGACTAAGATTATACTTTCACCTTAAGAATATTAGTCAATTAGTATTTGAATTTAAGGAATTTTTTTGATGAACTACTTAATGAATTATCGCCACTTAAGAATATGCAACATATTATTGGATTGATTATTGCATTGTTTAAAATTGCAGAATATGAGACTCAGACTCAATGTAATTCTTGTGAAAAATGATTCGAGACTTACACCTCGAGCTTTTTTATGAGGCTTGCATCTCAGCTTGGCTGAGGCCTGCCTTAAGGCACACCTCACCTAGCTAGTGTAAGGCGTACGCCTCATCCTATTTACATATATATATATATATATATATTAAAACTTAAATATGAAAGATGAAGATGACTTAAATAAATGAAGAATAAGCAGACTGTGAGACATTGAACTCCATGGGATGAGGCTGGGGAGAGTTCAATTTGTTATGGCAATGACTCAAACAAAGACCCAGTCAGTGATGGCAGTATAGATGATTTCTAAATTGTTGATAACTATTGTAGCCTTCTTAGGAATGTAAAGTGTGGATAATGTGAAACTTTAAAACGAGAAGAAATTTGAAGATTAAACTTGATGTTATATAGATACTGTTCATACAATTTCTATATTTTTATAATTATTTTTCTCTTGTAAATATTTTATTTTAATATTTCTTATTGCTAATTTGTATCACTTGTCACTTTATGTCTTGTACAATTTTTTTATTATTCATATTCATATATATATATATATATATCAATTTTATTGTTTCATATTCAAATATGAAGGTTAATATTAAAATCTTTAAATATTTATTTGTTGTTATATATATTAAAAATCGCTTTTTTAATATTTCTTTTATTTCACACAATTTTTTAGATTTTAGGCTTATTTAACCATAATAATCCTTGAGACTTACCTCTCGCCTTATGACAAAAAAATGCCTAATACCCAAATGCGCAAATTGTGCAAATCCGGCTCAAATCTTACATAGTTTAGTGTCCCGGCGGGATTTAGCCCAAATCTTATATAAACCTTGTTCTAAATCCTGTCTAATTTGCACCTAGGAGAGGGAAATAGAGGAATTAACTCTATATGAGATTTAAGAGTTGCCTAAATCCTGCTCAAGCTTCGCATAGGTTTAATCTAATTTATAATTAATTTTAAGTTAAATATAATTAGATTATAATTAATTATAATTAATTTATAATAAATTATAAATTAAAATTAATTGATTTATAATTAATTTTAAATTAAAACATAGTTAATTTTAATTAATTAATTATAATTAATTAAGGTTGATTATAATTAATTATTTTATATTTTAATTTATTATTATTAATTATAAATAAGTTTTCTCTTATTATAATTAATTAATGTTAATCTTAGTTTGTTATAATTAATTGAGGTTAATTATAACTAATTAGTATTAACTCTAATTAATTATGATTGCCTCGATATGCGTGCTAACACCACATCGATGGAAAGCAAAGGTATAGCCCCTCGATCCCTAAAACTCCGAGAACCTGCTTTCGATGCTTGCAACGCGACAAAACGACCTCCTATACACGCTTTTCTTAGCGTTGTGGAAGGAAG